GCATTGGACGGACTTCGCTCCAAGGTAGGCTCGTGCTTCACACTCGCCCTCTCCTCTGCTGCTGCTGCTGCTGCTGCTGCTGCTGCCCCTGCTGTAGGTAATTGGCCAGGGTAAGGAGCCTGGCCTTGCCTTTGCTGCTGCTGCTGCTGCTGCAACTGTTGCTGCAACTGCTGCTGCTGCTGCTGCTGCTGCTGCTGCTGCTGCTGCTGCTGCTGCTGCTGCTGCTGCTGCTGCTGTCGTTGCTGCATCTGTTGTTGTTGTTGCCACTGTTGCTGCTGTTGTTGTTGTAGCTGCTGTTGCTGCTGCTGCTCCTGTTCCTGCTGCTGTTTCAGCTGCTGCTGCTGCAATTGCTCCTGTTTCTGCTGCTCTAGCTGCTGCTGCTTCTGCTGCTCTAGCTGCTGCTGCTTCTGCTGCTCTAGCTGCTGCTGCTTCTGCTGCTCTAGCTGCAGCTCCTGCTGCTGCTTCTGCTGCAGCAATAGCTGCTGTTGCTGCTGCTCCTCCTCGTGCTGCTTCTGCTGCAGCAGCTGCTGCTGTCTGCGACGCTGCAGCTCCACCTGCTGCTGCTGGAACAGGGACATACGCTGCTTCCGCAGCACAGGCACAGGCATCGCATGGGACAGCCCCGTATCCGCCCCACCAAACTCATCCAGCGACTCGTTCTTATCCTCCCACCCAGCATCCAACCCTCCATCAAGACTCTCCTCCAACCCCCCATCCAATCCCCCATCCAACCCCCCGTCCAGCCCCCCATCTAGCCCCCCATCCAGCCGCCCATCCAATGCATCGTCCAGCCCCCCGTCCTCGCCCCCAGCGCCACCCTGCCCCTGCTCCAGTTCACCCCCCAGGCCCCCCTCGGCTGCAATACCCACCCCTGCTGTGCCGCCTGCTGCTGCACCTGCCCCTGCTACAGCCGTCCCTGCTGGTGCAGCCGCTCCCCCGAATGCCCCACCCAGCAGGCCTGCACTCATGAGCAGGAACTCATCTGCACCCATCTCCACCTTCCCACCACCCCCACCAACAGCAGCGGCGGTGGCGGCTACAGCACTGGCAGCAGCAGCAGAAGCAGCGGCAGCAGCGCCACCAGCACCAGCTGCAAGCTCAGGAGCAGGAGCAGCGGCGACCTCTGGAGTTGCTGCTGCGTCTGATAAGAGGCCAAAGGCGTCAGCAGGGCCCGCCACAGCGGATGGGAGCGAGCCAGGCAGAGCTCTGGACGTGGCGGCAGCAGCAGTGGCGGCGGCTGACATGGCTGTAGCAAGGGCTGGAGGGAGGGTGGGGGAGAGAAGGGTGCCATCGCCCTGCTTTGCTCCGGAAACACCATACCCCAGCAGACTGTCTATCGATATCTCAGGCACCATCTGCTGCTGCTGATGCAATTGCTCTTGCTCTTGCTCTTGCTCTTGCTCTTGCTGTTGCTGTTGCTGTTGTTGCATTTGCTGCTGCTGCAACTGCTGTTGCTGCTGCTGTTGTTGCAGTTGCAGCTGCTGCTCTTGTTGCAGTTGCTGCTGCTGCTTTTTCTTTTTCAAATTTGCCTTCTTCTTGCTTGTTGCCTTCTCCTGCGTTTGTGTGGACATCCCCTTTTCGTCAACCAGCAGCGCCCCCCCCTTCACACCCATCTGCTTCTTCGCCTTCTTCTTTTTCTTCTTCAGCTTTTGTTGCTGCAGGGGAGTCTTATCCTCACCCAGCCCCTTCCTTGCTTTCTTCTTTCCCTTCTTCACCTTACTTCCTCCCATTGCTTCTGCAAGAAGAAAAGGAGGAGGGCGAGAGAGGGGCGGAGGAAGGATGTCAGAGAGGGGAGCAATGCAGATAACATCAGTCCGCCCTGTGAATGAAAGAAGCACAGAATACCCCACCCCTGCTCAAGCCACACGTGTCAGGGCACCAGCCAAGCCATGCCCCAGCATCCCATCCCCCACCATCCCCAACGCTTACTTCGTTTTGCAGACCCCTTCCCACCCCGTCGCTCTTCCTCCTCCTCCTCCGCCTCGCCATCATCAGGCGCGACAGCATCCCCAGCCACGGCGCGGCGGAGGGGCGAGAGGGGGTCCCACGCGGGGGGGAGGGCGAGGCGGCGGTACTTGAGCAGCCCGCGGTGCCGCGACGCAGGCGGCACGGCGTTCAGCTTCGCCTTGTGGAAATGCTGTTGACGCGCCACCTCGGCCACGCGCGGACTGGGGTCCAGACACAGCGGCGGCTGCACTGCTCTCAGGATGCGTGCTTCCACCTCCTGGTAGGGGCACACGGAGGGTGGGAGGGAAGTAGGGAGGCAGGGAGCGAAGGGAGGGAGTAAGGGGTGAATAAGATGATACCACTGCACTGCATTGGCCCTGTGAATGTACCACTGCCTCGGCACCTCGGACACGCGTGGGCTGGGATCCAGACACAGCGGCGGCGACTGCACTGCCCTTAACATGCGTGCCTCCACCTCCTGGTGTGGGGGAGGGTGGAGGTACTGAGGGAAGCAGAGAGGGAGGCAGGGAGAGAGTGGGAAATAAGACAATCTTGCAGCATTGCATAGATCTTGTGGGCACAGCGGACACTACCAGCAACGAGCAGCCCCCGTACACGTACTGTCACCACTCCGCACCCACCAGCATGACGTGTCACCACTCTGCACGCCCCAACACGCTTTTCCACCACTCTGCACCCACCAGCACGCATTTCCACCACTCTGCACGCACCAGCACGCCTTTCCACCACTCCCAACCCACCAGCATGTCCTGATACGACCAGGAGGCGTCAGCCATGGCGGCCACGTCCTTCGCAATGCTCTCAGACGTGGGTCGCAGCACCACACGCCACGTCCTCACCGGGCCCTCGCCCGCCCGCCGCCCCGCTGCCTCCATTGCTGCTGCTGGCGAGGACCCCGGGGGGATCCGCGCTATGCTGCCGCCCCGCCCCTCCGCCAGCTCGCGGTAGTCGCGCACCTGGGCGCATGGCGGAGGAGGGAGGACGGGAGGCGTGGGGGGTGTGGGAGGGGGAGGGGCTTATATAATGCGCACGCATAATGTATGATGCATGATGCATGGTGAATGCTGTATGCTGCACGGTGTGTGAATAGTTGAGTCGAAATAAAATAAAAGTGTTGCACTGCGCTACAAATGCAGGCGCATGGGAGCAGCAATCCAGTCACACCTCGCAGGAAACACATCCGTTGCGGTAGATGCAGGGGATGTCGTGCAGCAGGTCCCCAGGCAGATGCCCGGTGTCAATCGCCTGCACAGCACACACACGCCAACACATCAACGCACGCATGCATGCACGCACCGCTGGTGAGTCGCATGCCGGAAGAAGGCGAAAGGTAACTTGAAAGCCAAAGCAGCGTGCTCACGATTGCTGTGACGTGAAGCCTGACGCATGGAATAGAGAGAATCAAGCGGGCTGAGGGGTGTACAGACACGGTTACGGAGCTCACATTGGCCGGGCGTGGACTCACCTGCAGGAACGACTCGGTGGAGCGGTCGTACGGGTACAGCTTCGCCACCAGCGCTTCCGGTAGGCGCGGCGGAGGGCGGCCGTCCTGCGAGACATCGCGCCACGCGGGACGGACTAGGAGAGAGCGATCGGGGGGATACGATTGTGCAATGCGATGGACGCTGATTGGAAACGACAAACTGAAGTAACGGATTAGTAACAGTTGTTAGATAGCGACGGGAATCGAGCATCTGAATGACGGTCATGACGCCAAGCTACACGCTTGACCCTGCGATCAAGAACGGGAGCGGGAAGGCGTGCGTTCTACGCAGGCCAAATGGCGCATTGCAAGGATTACACCTAACGAGGCAGCGAAGAGTCTAGAATGCCTCCTACACTGCGGTACCGTACTCGTAAAAGCTGCTTCGAACCTGCGTGGGAACGTCGATGGAGAAGCCTTCGGGGAAGATATTCAGAGCGAAGGAGCAGGGCATCTCGCCCACCACGCCGGGCTCCCACGCTCCTCGCCCTCCACCTGACGCCGTCGACATGGACACACCACGCGAACCCTTGCTCTTGAGTCGTTCCCCTGCAACCCTAACTTGCGTAGCAGCAACTGAAAGCTAGTCCCAGGAAGGTAGCCGCACGCAAATGCTTCGTCTCGTTCGTCTGCAACGAGTAGTAACCGCGACGATCGGAATATAGCCGCGCTAGACATACAAGCTTCTAGCGGTCTGTCATTGGCTGATTGTAGTGGCGGGGCGACTGGCTCAACGTAACGAATCGTGGGCGATCAAATTGATATAACGCGAATAGCACTTACCTTAGAGAGAACCCAATATATGTGCTCTGGTGGAAGAAAGTACAACAGTTTCCAAGTTTTAATGAACTCCAAAAAGACAGTCTTAATCGTTCAAATTCAAGAGCTCCTAGTTAGGTCTCAGGGTCTCCCAAAGATTTCCAGTAATTTTAAGTGCCAAAATGATTCAGGAAAACTATCCATGATTGCTCTTTCTTTTATGTTCCATAAGAATACTGGAATGAAGGTAAAGTATCGTAGAGGAGCCGAAGTTGAACTCAACTGGGTGGTTCATTCCTGCAATCGCGTCCGACAATGGCGACGACATTGTGTGCGCCAACATGAAACACACGTGCAGGCCCGACGAGCCCAGCTCTCCTGCTGAGCTGGCTGATAGTTCGTTTCCAGCGTGGCAACACGTCACTTGCAACGAATGTCAGAGCACTCGGTACAGTTTCAGTTTCCCGCCAACCTGCTGGGTTTTGTCAACTTTGTCAGAGCAGGCTCGAACGGGAGGCAGTCAGACATTCTCGACGCTGATTTCCCTCTCATCAGCAACTGGTCATCGCTTTATTTCTCGAGTTATGTAGTTGTAGTTCCTGTATACTTGCTTTCCGCTGTCACTCATCCCATTTCGTCGGCGCTTACGCGTGCTAACAACGAATATTGGGCTGCGATCAACCATGGAATCACCAGTCTGGATCGTGCACAACATACGACATCTCTCGTACCACTGATTGCTTCGCAATGGCTGGTTAACAACAAATGGATAGGGAGCGGAGAGCCAGCCATGGCATCGCTTTCACAGTCACAGACGACGGCATTACTTCGGCCAGAAGCATTCAGAGGGCGACATTACCCTGAGTGGCATCCTCCCACCCGCCATCTAGTCACACCGTTCCTTCGCCCTGACTTTTCACCGATTCTCCCTGCTGCACCATCCCCCTTCTTCCTTACCGCGCCACGCATCCCTGCGATCGGCGGTTATGGAAGAAGCCGGCGGGTGGCAGTGTCGTCCATTCTCACGCGGCAGGATGGGCAGGCGGACGAAGGAATGGATGCGCGGAAGGCGCAAAGGGCAGCGCAGAAGAGCGAGGCGGCGAGCGCGGCGAGGCAGGGAGGCGGCGTGACGGGAAGGGGAGCGCAGATGAGCGGAATGCAAGGAGCAGTGGGAAGCGGGGAGCAGGCGGGGGATGGAAGGGAAACCGCAGTGCAACGGCCAAGTGCGCAGCATCAGCAGGATCAACAGCAGCAGCAGCAGCTGGAGCAGGCGGAGGGAGCACGCAAGGCGTCAAGCAGCGTGCGCGCTGTGGAGCGCGTTGCCGCTGCCCGCCAGGGCGGGGCAGCTTCGTGGAGACCTCCCACCTCGCTCACTCGGATGCCGTCCCTCAACCGAGCCTCGGGCTTCCAGGGGCTAGGGCTAGGCTCGGGCATTCAGGAGCTAGGCTCGGGCTTTCAGGGGCTAGGCTCGGGCTTTCAGGGGCTAGGTTCGGGCATTCAGGGACTAGGCTCGGGCATTCAGGGGCGCGCATCAGCAGTGCGCAGCAGGCTGCAGGGGGGCGCGATGGAGGCGGGGAGTCGGATACAGGGCGGCGCGTACGGCGTGGGCAGCTCCCTCCAGGACACGGCCGCCGTGGTGGGCGGCGTGATTCAGGGCCGCGCCGTGGAGGTCGGGGGTGCGATCCAAGGCAAGGCGGTTGCGGTGGGCAGCACGATACAGGACACGGCAGTAGTGGTGGGGGGTGCGATCCAAGATAAGGCAGTGGCAGTGAGCAGCACAATACAAGACACAGCAGTAGTGGTGGGAGGGGCGATTCAAGACACGGCAGTGGTGGTAGGCAGCAGGATTCAGGGCAAAGCGGTGGAGCTGCAGGAGAGAGCGGTGGAGGTGGGTACGAGCATCCAGGACAGGGCGGTGGAGGTGAGCAGCAGCCTTCAGGACCGCGCGGTGCTGCTGCAGGGCAAGGCCGTGGAGGTGAGCAGCACGCTGCAGGACGTGGTGTCGGAGGTGGGGCAGGTGGTGACTGAGGTGGGTGTGACTATACAGGAGAAGCAGCAGGAGATCGCCAAGGTGGTGCAGCACACGGCGGAGGACGTGGAGAGGAGCCTCCCGCCCCCCGCGCAGGGCGCACTGCGCACGGCGGGGTCGGGCGTGCAGGCGGTGGTGAGCGTGGTGGCGCCCGTGCTGGACCGCATTCCCGTAACGCGCGGGCAGCTGGCGGGCGCGGCCGTGGTGGTGGTGCTGTTCATCAAGGCCGTGGAGCAGTGGTGGTACCAGTTCCAGCAGGACTCGCGGTGAGCTGAGGAGGGGGACGTGGAAGTTAGGGGTGTCAGTGAGAAAGTGAGGTGGCGGTTGGGCGTTTGGGTGAGGGATGGTGATGGAGCATGGCACATGCACTGGGCTGCGCCCTCTCTGCCTGCATGCCCGCTCACCTCACATGCATGTCCCGCCTGCTGATGCGCCCGCCCTTCCTCCCTCCCTTCCTTCCTCCCTGCCATGCCTGGCAGGGGCTCGACACACTTTGACATCCCGGAGCGCATCCGCGTGGAGGCGCCGTCGCCCCTGCCACCGCCTGTGCCTGTGGCGTCGACGCGGCAGCAGGTGGACGTGCGGCGCAAGGAGCCCATGGAGTGGGTCAACATGCTGCTGCGCAAGGTCAGTCCACGCCCGTCAACGCCGGTCAACGCGAGGCAACGCTTGTCATTGCCAGTCAATGCTGGTCAACGCCGGTCATCGTTGGTCAATTCTGTTCTAGGCAGGTCAATGCAGGTCAAGGCTGGACGTATAGGGTCAAATGCAGGGCGCAAGCAAAGGTTGGAGTCCATGAAAGGCCACGCTCATGCCCTGGAACCCACACACAAACATGCTGAGTCTTCACCCACTCCACCCCACCCCCACCCACACGCTCTGCATGTACCGCACAGGGCTGGCGCGGTGGATGGGGAGAGCCCTGCACGCCGGTGCCCGTCAGGTCCATGCTCTCCAAGTATACCCCCCACATGCCTTCTCCCCCCTATCCCCCTTTCCCCCCACCCTCTTAGGTGTTCCGCATATACTGCATGGCCTGGAGCGCTGGATGGTGGGCATCGTTCCAGCAGGTGGCTGTCAGGTCAAGGCTCTCAAGGTGTGGCCCTACTCCCCCACTCACCCCCTTCCCTTCTTCCCTCACCCCTCCAGGTCTTCCGAATCTACCGCACGGGGTTGGAGCGGTGGATGGTGGGCATCGTGCAGGCAGGTGGCTGTAAGGCTTGTAAGTTATGCCCCCACACGCTTCCTCTCCCTCCCCCTCCCCTCCAGGTCTTCCGAATCTACCGCACGGGGTTGGAGCGGTGGATGGTGGGCATCCTGCAGCCGCTCATCGATGAGACGCCCAAGCCACGTGGCGTGCAGCGCGTGCGCATCAAGCAGTTCTTCCTCGGCGACGAGCCGCCCTCCCTGCGCTCCATTGAGCGCCGCACCTCAAGGCGCGGCAACGACTTGCAGTGAGTGCGGTGCAGAGTGATAGAGCAGTGGTGTAGTGTGGTAGTAAGTGGTTTCATGGTGTATGGTGCGCATCAAGCAGTTCTTCCTCGGGGAACGAGCTTCCCTCACTGTGCTCCATTGAGAGGCGCACATCCTGTCGCAACAATGACCTGCAGTGATTATGGTGCCGTGCACTGGCATGGTGCTACTAGTGTCCAGCCCATCGGACTGTGTCTTGCTCTTCACCACTATCTATCGCCGCAGACGCCATGGCACATCGTGCCGTCATCCACTCGCATTCCGTCTTCTTCTACCAACCATGCCATTGACGTCCTTCACCTTCACCCTCACTGTGGCACCTTCACCTCCACCATGAATGCCACTCCCTGTGATGACATGGCACTCTGGGAACCGTTCCTCACAACCGCACCGTTTATCCCCTTCACACCATTCCCTTCACCATCCCACTCCCATGCTCATCCTCATCCCCATCCTTATCATCTCCCCTCGGCCCAGGTACTACGTGGGGGTGGGGTACCACGTCCAGCCTTATCATGCGGTGCAGAGCGATGCTGCTGTCTATCACGTGGCACATCCTGCCTGTCATCCACTCTCGTCCCATCCCCTTCTCACAACCATGCGATTGACTCCCTTCACCTACTCTGCACCACTTCCTGTGGGGCCATGGCACCCTTGGAAGACATGTCATCCCCTTCACCATTTCCTTCACCATACCCGCTCCCATCCCCATCCCCATCATCCTCCTCACCACCAGGTACCACGTGGGGGTGCGGTACACGGGGGGAATGCGCATGCTGCTGGAAGTGCCGGTGGACGTGAGCATGGGGCTGTCCGCCATCCCGCTCACCGTGCCCATCCCCGTGGGCGTGCGCAACTTTGACGTGGACGCGGAGGTGTGGGTGCGCCTGAAGCTGATCCCCGTGGAGCCGTGGGTGGGCGCGCTCACGTGGGCCTTCGTCTCCATGCCCAAGGTCAAGCTCACGCTCGCGCCCTTCCGCGTCGTCAACCTCATGTGTAAGCGCTGCGGGCCTTGGGGGGAGCGGGGCTGTGGAAAGGTGGTGGGTGGGTGACAAGTGGGTGATTCGCATGGAGGCGTGATGTTCACTTGATGGTCCTCTATCTTTCGCTGAGGATGTATGCCCATGAGGTTGTGAGGGGAAATGTGACGCCTGAATAGCCTCTTTCATGCTTCTTTGACTTGTGCCTTTCTCCTGTGCGCATGTGCCATCCCTGCTGTTGCCATCGGGGCACCCATGCGTCCACACATCTCCCTGTAATGATTTCGCCATCGCCATCACCACCAGCTATTCCATTCCTCTCAAGGTGAGCCGCCAAACGAGCAGCCCTCCAAACATTCCACGCGAGCAGGCCAAATCGTCTGTTGGATTCGTTAACTGCTGCCTGCTTGCTCGCTCTCTCATCTGCTACCTGTGCTGCACTCCATCTATGCACCTGCTGCTGCCTCCCGTTCCTCTTGTACTCGTTGTCCCATATCCCATCCGCCACCCACACAACCATCTCCCATCTCTGTCCACTCTTCCGTTGCTCTTTCCCCTCCCCGTCCCCTCTCCCCTTCCCTTTATCCCCCCAGGTACCTTCAGGCGCTGCTAACGGAGGAGCTGCCGGCGCGCTTCCTGCGGCCCAACAGCAAGGAGGTGGACCTCCTCAAGGACCGCCCGCTGCCGCCCGACCCCGCCCAGCGCGAGTTCCGTGAGGGGCAGGTGGCGAGCGGCACTCTGGGCTTCGCTGGGGAGCTGCAGGTGACGGTCATTGCCGCCCAGCGCGTCATCAACCTGCCCCTCGGTACGACCTCGTCTGTCATGGTGTGGAATCACCCGTTTGTGGACTGCTCGTTACAAGAACACTCGGTGAAGTGGTGAGGCGGGAGTCAACGGGTCCTGTCTTCCCCTCACCCCCCGTGCTCCCCCCTCTCCCTCAGGCGACAGCGATCCCTACGTGGTGTTGGAGTTGGGGCAGCAGGTGGCGCGCAGCAAGCGCAACAGCGAGACATCGCTGGTGGGGCCGGCGGGGTACCCCATATGGAACCAGGACTTCGTGCTGCTCGTGCTCGACCCAACCCTGCAGCGCCTCTCCGTCAAGCTCAGGGGCTCGTTGGGGCTCTTCTACGTGGACTTCGGGCACGGCTCGGTGAGAGAAGGGGTATGGTGAGAGGGGAGCCCACAGTGAGGGGGGAGATGGTGGGCGGGGTACCCCATATGGAACCAGGACTTGTTGCTGCTCGTGCTCCACCCCTCGCTGCAGCGCCTCTCTGTCAAGCTCCGCGGCTCGCTTGGCCGTCTATGTCAACTTTGGCCACGGCTCGGTGAGGAGGGGAGGGGCACATGGGAGGGGCTGAAGAGTGAGGGGAGGGGACGGTGAAGAGGGCAGGGCCCGTTGAGGGAAGGGGGGACGTTAAAACGGGCAGGTGACGCTAGCAAGTGCTGGTCGTGCTCCACCCTCCCTGCGCCACCTCTTGGTCAAGCTCCGGGGTCTCTGGCGTTCTTCTACGTGGACTTTGGGCACGGCTTGGTGAGGGGGAAGGGGGCACAGTGAGGCGGGAACAGAGCACGGTGAGGCGGGAACAGAGCATGGTGAGGGGGCAGGGGGCACTTTTAGGGGGGCGGGGGACGGTAAGGAGTGTGCATGGAGTGAGTCGTTGCAAGTGAACCTTCTGACTTTCCTGTTCAAAGCCACATGTGCTGCCCCTCTCTCCTGCCCCTCCGCTGTCCCACCGCAGGTGCGCCTGGGCTCCCTGCACGACACGCTGCCAACACACGTGTGGGCTCCGCTGCACAACCCTCCTGTTTCTCGTCTACACTGCCCTCCTGTTTCTCGCCCATTGCAGGTGCGCCTGGACGCGCTACAGGACACGGTGCCAACGGACGTGTGGGTGCCGATGCGCCTGCGCCTGCCAGTGGGGCAGAAGGCGTGTGGGCGGGTGAAGATGCGCCTCACGTACAAGGCGTTCGTGGCGGAGGACGACCACCAGGACGTCGAGACGTTCGACCAGCCCTACAGCGAGGCTGAGAGCGACGGGGAGGGCGCGGATGCGCTCGCTACAATTTCTCGCCTCCGGCGGTTTGTTGCTGACGTGGCGGACTCTGCTGCTCCGCCGGAGCTGATGAGGATCCTGGAGAATGTGAGGGTGGGCGAGATCCCACGTGTCGTTGACCTGGAGCGACTCAGTAGTGACGTGGCGAAGCTGTCTGACCTGGCACGTGCGCTCGAGGTGGCGCTGTTCAAGGACGTCAACCGATTGGCGGAGCTCCCGAGGCTGTCGGATCTTCCCAAGATGAAGGAGTTCTCCGTGCTTGCTGAGCTGGCGAGTATCCGCGCTGACATCGAACGGCTGGCGCAGGCGGCCCGTGCGCTGGAGCTGGGCGCTGAGCTGGAGAAGCGCGTGAAGGTGGATCTGTCGCGGATCGATCTGGACCTGTCGTCCGTTGATCTGCCCAAGTGGGACGAGTGGATGGCTGTGCCGCGCCGAGCCCTGCCCCAGCCCAAGGACCTGGTGGAGCGCTACCGCCTGCTGCTGCCCGATGCTGAGTCCCGGCGCCGCCAGCGCGAGCGAGAGGCGCGTGCGGAGGGCGGGGAGGAGGGGCGTGACGATGATGGTGATGATCCGGATGGTGGGACCGGAGGGGTGAGGCAGCGGGGAGGTTGGTGGAGAGGTGGGTGGAATGGGAAACGTGGGGAAGGAGGGCGGAGGAACGAGGGAAATGGAAGGGGAGGGGCAGGAGGGAAGAGGGAGCGGACGGGTGTTTCAGGGGTGGTGAGACGAGGCATGACGTTGTGGCGCGGGGAGAGTGGACGAGAGGGCGCGGAGGAGGGGAAGCGGGACAGAGTGGATGGAGGAGAGGGAGTGAGAGACGGGAGGGAAGGAGGAGGAGGGGGAGACGGGAAGGAAGGAGGAGGAGGAGGGGGAGAAGCAGGAGGAGGGGAGTGGGCATCAGGGGGGAGGAAGAAGATACGAAGGGTGACGCCAGCAGTGGTGGCGGAGGGACGGGGCAAGAGTGCCGTGGTGAGGAGAGGGGCAGAGGGGCAGCGGGCGGAAGGGGTGGAGGGGGCGTTTGAGTGGAGGGAGGCGCTTCAGGTGTTTGAGGACGTGTGGGGCATGATGGACGGCTCCCCCTCCATGCAGCCGGGGTCACTCTCGGGCAGACAGAGCACCTCCGTGCCGGATGCCCCAGTGTGGCGTGGGAGGGCGCGCTCAGATGCCCTAGCAGGCCAGTTGAGAGCGGATGCGGAGCAGGAGGGAGGGGTTGGAGAGGGGCGATATGGGAATGGGCGGGCGGGGATGAGTGAGGAGAGGTTTGAGAGGGTTGAGGGTGAGGGGGGAGGGAAGGTGGAGGGAGACAAGGGGGTCAATGGGAATGGCAGAGTGGCACAAGGAATAGTCACTGCTGATGTGGATGAGGAGGGTGCCAGCATGGCAGCACATGCAGCTGAGTCAGCAGCGGCGGCCATGGCAGGACGAGGCAAGGGGTGGATCTCGCCCTCCCTGCAGTCTGCTGGTGGTGGGGCGAGTGGTGGGCGCGGTGTGGGGCATAGGGATGGTGACAGGGGGGGGGATGGGGATGAGCAAAATGCAGGAGGGAAAAGTGGAAGTGGGGCAGTAGCAGGGGTGGAGGGGCGAGGGGTGGAGGAGGAGAAGGGGGCGAGGGGTGGAGGTTCAACAAGGGGAGAGAGGAGGTGGTGGGAGGTGTGGAGGTGAGAGGTGAGGGATGAGAAGGGAGGAGGAGAACTAGGGAAGGGGAAAGAGGGTTGGGGAGGCGGTGAGATTGATGTAGGAGATGCAAGTGAGGCTGTAGGATGAAGGGAGGATGATCTGCACTCAGCTAGACGACACGGTGTGATTGATGGTGGGGAGTAGAGGGCTCAGAGTGAGAGCAGGGGGGAAGAACGTTGAGGTGGTTGGGAAGGAAAGGCTTGAGTTTGGAAGTGGGGAGAGGGGGGTGGCAAGGGAAGGGGAGATTGGAGGGGGAGGAGGTGGAGGCGGCTGTGGTGGTCTCGGTGTGGCATCAGGGCTCAGTTGATCATGGTGTAGCTGGTGGCACCTGGTGGCGGATGCAGAGAATGTACCGTACAAGTCTTGAAGGTGTGTGTATAGGTGGCTCCTATTTATGTAGGTTTATGAATTATTCCCATGTGTTGTGCCACATGGTCGCAGTACTAGGTGTCCTATCAATGCATGAGGTGTCCAAAGTGTTAAATAAGGTTTTGTTGTAGGAGCAATGTGAATTTTAGAAACATGGCATGCTACCGTATGCTGAGGTATGGTTTGATACTGCCACAAGGCACTATAGCGAAAGAATGGTAGGACGGCAGCACTATGCATGCATGGACCCAAGTCGTACGCAATGTGTGCTTTTTGTACGCCCTCGGCATAAGATGTAATAGTAGGCTATTAGGATCAAGGTGTGATGGAAATGAAACGATGTAGCGATAGTGAAACCTTCTCCCCAGCTACTTTCAGCTAATTCTTTTTATCGCAGCATTTTAAAGCATGGTCAATCTTTCCGACCAGGCCGCACCACAGGCATCAAAGATTGTGGTGGTGGGCGTAGTGCATGCGTAGTTGATCGTCCCATCCAGTCAAGTTCGAAGGCAATTCGAGGACGACTTTTACCTCAGCCGAGCCAACCGCATTTTATGCTGAAATATATGACGACTCCGATTGTAAGCGATTTGAAATGCGGTAGCAGGTGGCTGCGTGCCTTTTCAAAGCAACGCTGAAGCAAGTCGGCCCAAACCAGAGGTCATCGAAGGCGGCAGAATGCTGGAGAACATGTCCGAGATAGGAGACGACGCGTTTGACGAGACTCCTCCGGTTTCCCAATCCGTGATTCATCGTCAAAATTCATGCGGAAATGCTGCTCTTGGTGAGCTTTGCACTACGGATTCAGCTTATCACGAGGCTGACGGAATGGAACGACGGAGTGATGGAGCGGACCTGTTCCGCGTGGTGATCGTTGGTGCGGGCCCAGCAGGTCTAGTTCTAGCGAATCACCTGCTGACACGTGGCGGCGGTAGGTTCCACGTAAGTGTGGTGGAGAAGAGCGAGGACCCGCGAAAGAAGGTGGAGGAGGCGGTGGAGGTCGCGAGGAGGTGAGCTGATCGCATTGGGGAGGTGGGCTGATCGCATAGGGGAGGTGAGCTGATCGCATTGGGGAGGTGAGCTGATCGCATTGGGGAGGTGAGCTGATCGCATTGGGGGGAGTGGCAGGGTGTAGGGAGGGCGTTGGGCAAGGAGTGGGGGAATGTGGGGTGGGTGAGGGGGAGAAGGAGGGCGTTGGGGGAAGAGGGGGACGGGGGAAGAGGGGGGTGGGGGAAGAGGGGGATGGGGGAAGAGGGGGATGGGGGAAGAGGGGGGTGGGGGAAGAGGGGGGTGGGGGAAGAGGGGGATGGGGGAAGAGGGGGGTGGGGGAAGAGGGGGGTGGGGGAAGAGGGGGGTGGGGGAAGAGGGGGGTGGGGGAAGAGGGGGATGGGGGAAGAGGGGGGTGGGGGAAGAGGGGGGTGGGGGAAGAGGGGGATGGGGGAAGAGGGGGGTGGGGGAAGAGGGGGATGGGGGAAGAGGGGGATGGGGAAGAGGGGGGTGGGGGAAGAGGGGGGTGGGGGAAGAGGGGGATGGGGGAAGAGGGGGGTGGGGGAAGAGGGGGAAGGCGGAAGAGGGGGGTGGGGGAAGAGGGGGAAGGCGGGATCAGAGCCAAGTGTTGTCGTGCGGGGTATGGTTGGCTGATAAGATAACGGTACATACCAACGGAATCGACCAGGGATTATCAGTCTCTTACCCATCACTCTGTCCTATCGTTTTCCCTCCTATCCCCTTCTCCCACCTCTCATGTCCACGTCAATTCTCTCCCTTCCATCTCCACCGTAGATATTTCATCGGACTCAACATCCGAGCGTTCCGATGCCTGGATGCGGTCCCTGGCCTGTTGAAGAAGGTGCGTCACGGGAAAGAGGGTCTCGCAAGAATACCCCATGTGCGCTAAATGAGCGACTGTGTCAGTGAATCCCACCGCACCTGAACGAATGAAATGCCGTCTGCCCCGAGGCCGGGATGCCATTCCAATCGCCTCAAGGGGGAAGCAGAGTACAAGGCAGAGGCAGAGGCAGAGGGGCGTCAAGTCCACTCCATAGTATGCATGCAACCGCTTTCAGCGGGCACTGTTACTCCTTGTAATTCCCCTTTAGGTCCTGCTGCGCGCGGCCCTGTCATGGCTTCACGTCGCCCTGTCATGGCTTCACGTCGCCCTGTCATGGCTTCACGTCGCCCTGTCATGGCTTCACGTCGCCCTGTCATGGCTTCACGTCGCCCTGTCATGGCTTCACGTCGCCCTGCTCCCGCCACCCACCACCAGGTGCTGGCCTGCATGGTTCTCGTGCGCCAGCTGTGCGTTGCCATCTCTGCCAAGCCGTCAGTCATCCCTTTCAGTCACAAGGTGAGCCCACTCGTTTCCCATGCATGCCCCTTGCAAGGCAGCCATTTGACCCTGTTCCTCCCCTTTCATCCCCTTCCTTCCCTTTCCATGACCAATCATGTGCTACCAGCGCCCTCCATCAAGCATTTCTCCGTCCGTCCTCCTGCCTCCCCCCTGCAGGACCCGCCAGTGCTGCTCGCTGATCGCACGGCCCTCTGCTGTGCTCTGCTGCACGCGCTGGTGGGGGAGGATGCGCACGCAGGGGTCCCAGTTGGGGATAACGGGGAGGATGAGGGGGAGGGGTGTGGGGGAAGGCCAGTGGGGGATAACGGGGAGAGTAACGAGGAGATGTGTGCAAGGAGAGGAAGGGAGAGCAAGGACGGCTCAGGAGGTAGTGCGGTAACGCACGGCGCCGGGTCATCACGGGGAAAGCTGGAGCTGTACTTCAACACGCGGTGCACAGGCATTGACATCAATGCACACACTGTCACCCTGCAGCCCGCCCCGGGGGGGAATGCTGCGCCCCGCACCCGCCTGCAGCCCGCTCACTCAGTAGAGCGGCGAGCCGTGGTGACAGGGGCAGTGGCTGTGGCAGGTGCATCAGCAGCAGGCGTGGCGAGCAGTGAGTGTGGAGGTCCAGCTGGTGCTGGTGTGGACGCCCAGCGCCTCCAGCAGCACCCGCCAGCCCAGCTCACCTATGACCTCCTGGTACTCACAGCTCTGCTATGACCTCCTGGTACTCACAGCTCAGCTATGACCTCCTGGTACTCACAGCTCAGCTATGACCTCCTGGTACTCACAGCTCTGCTATGACCTCCTGGTACTCACAGCTCTGCTATGACCTCCTGGTACTCACAGCTCAGCTATGACCTCCTGGTACTCACAGCTCTGCTATGACCTCCTGGTACTCACAGCTCTGCTATGACCTCCTGGTACTCACAGCTCAGCTATGACCTCCTGGTACTCACAGCTCAGCTATGACCTCCTGGTACTCACAGCTCTGCTATGACCTCCTGGTACTCACAGCTCTGCTATGACCTCCTGGTACTCACAGCGCCCTCCTCCGCACCCTGTGTGTGCATGCTCACTTGCTTCATTGCGTCAAGATCTCTTTTCGTGGCTTGAGAGTTCTTCATGTCATGTGTGATATCATATCAGATCATATCAGAGCATATCATGTCATATCGTATCATTCCATCCCATCCCATCCCATCCCATCCCATCCCATCCCATCCCATCCCATCCCATCCCATCCCATCCCATCCCATCCCATCCCATCCCATCCCATCCTATCCCATCCTATCCCATCCCATCCCATGCCATGCCATGCCATGCCACTGACAGGTGGGGGCGGATGGGGTGCGCTCTGTGGTGCGGAGCGCGCTGGTGAGCAGCGCGGGGGGGTTCGCCATGGAGGCACTGCCGCTCTTTGGGGAGTGGGTCGTGGCCTCCATCCCTGCCCCCACCTCCCTTCCCCCCAACTCCATGATTCTTGTTCCAAGGGTAAGTGGTAGCCCTGTACCTTCATGCCTTGACGGCGCCCCAGGATGTAACGAGGCACAGTGGTGGCGTGATAGGTGTGGGGGTGGCTGCCACGCACTCATGGAATCTCCCAGACAGCATAGCACCAGCCATTCGCACAGACGGCACCCTGTGGTGTGTTGTGCTGCCTGCATCCCTGTGGTGTGTTGTGCTGCCTGCATCCTTGTGGTGTGTTGTGCTGCCTGCATCCCTGTGGTGTGTTGTGCTGCGTGCATCCCTGTGGTGTGTTGTGCTGCCTGCATCCCCTATCCCACACCCTTGGCAACGCAAGAGAAGGGTGTGGGATATCGGTGGTGGGGCTCCCTACTCGACCCCCGCCTCCCTCCGCTCCTCCCCACCCCACTGATACAGGTTCCCCGCACTCCTGGCATATCGGTGGTGGGGCTCCCAGCACAGGGCGGCAAACTTTGTCTGTTGTGGGCATGGTCGGCCTTGGCACGGCCTGCTGAGTGGTTGGCGCTGAGAAGCAATGATGAGGACAGGGAGGACCATGCGGTGGGGAGGACGGACGCAAGGAAGGAGGGGGAAAGCGTGGGTAGCAAGCACGGTGTGACTGGTGCAATGGAGAATGCAGCGGGTGAAGGGAGTGTGGCTGGAGGGAGTGTGGCTGGAGGGAGTGTGGCTGAGGGGAGTGTGGCTGGAGGGAGTGTGGCTGGAGGGAGTGTGGCTGAAGGGAGTGTGGGTGGAGGCGGTGGAAATGCAGGCAGGGTTGTTGAAGCAGATGGGGAGGGGGAGGAAGGGAGGGAGAGGGGAGATGGGGGGCAGGTGCAGCAGGAGGGCAGGAGAAGCAGAGCGAGGGCGTACATTGAAGAGAGAGTGCCATGGCTGGGAATGACAGAGGACGGGGCGGAGACACTGTTGAACCAGCAGCCACGCACAAGCATGCGGGTGAGACGTGTGCTGTGAGAGTCGAATGAGGGTGAAACGTGTGCTGTGAGAGTCGAATGAGGGTGAGACGTGTGCTGTGAGAGTCAAGTGGCCCTTCTCTTTCTCTTTCTCTTTCTCTTCCCCGTTGCTCTGTTTTCCTGCATCCCTGGTTGCCTCCCCTCTCATCTCTGGGCCTTCCTTTTGAATTCCAAGCCCTCTCTGCCGCCCCTTCCTGCCATTGAATTCCAAGCTTCCCTTCACCTGTTGTCCTCCACGTATATCCCCTGCCTCTCTCCCCTCCTAACCTCCTCCCTCCCTGCCCGGATTCCCACTTCTCCCCACGGTCCCCACCCCATACCTGCCCTCCTCTTATCCTGACCCGCTGCCATCCCCCATTCCCGCACCACACCTTCCCGCAATCAGATCAAGTGCTGGCAGTATCACGACTCTGCCGCCCAGATCGCTCTAATCGGCGACTCAGCACATGCCACGTGTCCATCCCTGGGCCAGGGCTGCAACGCCGCCATCACCGATGCTACAGTGCTTGCCCGGCTGCTTCTGGGGGAGGTGGTATGTAGGGATACCCTGATTCCTCCATACACTAAGGAGACCACCTGGAAGCTGCTTCAGAGCGTTTGGGGCACAGAAGGAAATGAAGGGGTGGATTCAGAGCGAGAGGTGAAGTGCGGCACTAAGGGATCTTGTGCTCTGAGCAGGTTGGCTTGGTCCTTCATTCGTTTTGTCCAGAAGTTATCAAGGCTGACAGGGTTGGGGGGCAGAGTGGCACCAGAGAGAAGAGCCGGCGTGGGGGCAGAGGAGGGGAGGAGGGACGCAGACAGAGCAATGTGTGCAGCATCACCGCAGCACCTGCGCACACACCTTGCTGGGATGCTCGCTCGCTACTCTGCTCTTCAGGTGAGAGCCACGGCACTGTGCCCGCGTAGCAAAGAGGGTTGAAAGAAGCACTGACGGTGTCGGGTGCAGCATCGCTACTTGGCAAGGCGCTAGCGTTTCCACCCACTGCTGCGCCCTTCATCCCACCCTGGTCCACCCGCCACCCCCTTGTGTGCTTCAGGTGCCGGAAGGCCATGCCCTGGTTGACCTCTCAGACGCTGGTGCACCCATCAGCAACCTCTACTCTGTACGTGACACACTGCACTAAATGCCATGTTGATCCATGTGAGCATGTTGCTCATGTACCATGGCACGCACACGTCCTGTTTCACGCATTTTGAATTGTCTTTCTATTGTGGAGCAGGCGCTGTCATCGATTGACATGATTCTTCGTTCCATCCTTTCCAAGTTGCTGCCTGCATGGGTTGTGTCACCTCCCATCCAAGTCCTCTGCTCCAACACCACACTCTCATATTCAACCATACTCGCTCGCTTCTGTGGCTGGGTAACAACCATAACTAGTTCCAACACGAGTCTCAGACAGCAGTGGTATACAAGCCAGAGAAATAACTTGCTCGACAGATCTTAAATTATTTATGCGCACGTCACAGCACAACACCGTCTATTAAAGATGCAGGCATGAACGGCATATGGCACAATTGCCCCTGAAGAATGCTCAAGTGGACGCAGCTAATATGTCCCATACGAATCGGGTTCAGTTGAGGCCAATGTTGGGATCTGAGGCAATGGAAACGAGCAGCACCTGTGTGGAATGTCGTGCGGTCTTGAAGATGGTGAGTTGAGCATACTCACCCAGCGCACGGCAAAGATGTGCACCTTGGGATCCGCCCACCCCACGCTCACCTGCAGCCCACTGGACGTCCAGCATGAGGAGATGCAGACTGTCAAATGTTGTAGCCTGTAGTGAGGTTTGTCTTAAGGGGTACGGAAGTTAGGGTTTGTTATATGTACCCCAACCAACATCAATGGCACATTCATTCCTCATTCTGACATGGTATCAGCTAGGTTAGGATCATGTGGGATCCCGTTCCTCCGTTCTCCGTTCGTACCTCCCGAGCCTGATCCTACCTCTCGTTCGTACCAGTTTCGTTGTTACCGCGCCTAGTACCGAGCCTAGCGCCATCTCCCCCGTCGCGTCGCGCCCGTTCCCCCCGTCGCGTCGCGCCCGTTCCCCCCGTCGCGTCGCGCCCGTTCCCCCCCGTCGCGTCGCGCCCGTTCCCTGCGTCGCGTCGCGCCCGCCTGTTACCCCCCCCCGTCCCGTCGCCCTGTCCCGTCGCGTCGCCCTGCCCTGTCCCGTCGCCCTGTCCCGTCGCGTCGCCCTACCCCGTCGCGTCGCCCTGCCCTGTCCCGTCGCCCTGCTCCGTCGCGCCGCCCTGCCCCGTCGCGTCGCCCTGTCCCGTCGCGTCGCCCTGCCCCGTCGCGTCGCTCCCGCCCTTTCCCCCGTCGCGTCGCCCTCCCTAGGCCCTGGCCCGTCGCCCTCCCTAGGCCCTGGCCCGTCGCCCTCCCTAGGCCCTGGCCCGTCGCCCTCCCTAGGCCCTGGCCCGTCGCCCTCCCTAGGCCCTGGCCCGTCGCCCTCCCTAGGCTCTGGCCCGTCGCCCTACCCTAGGCCCTGGCCCGTTGCCCTACCCTACGTCTTGGCCCGTCGCCCTAGCCCGCTCTTCCGCTGCGACTGAGTCCTCTTCCCCCCCGGTTGTTACTCGCCTGTTCGTTCGCGTTGGTTCTCACTATGGCGACTCCGCGAGTTCTTCGTTTCGACGCCGACGGTAGACCCCTTGACTTTTCCGTCTGGCTTCTTCGCGCTCGTCGTCTGTTAGAGAGTCAGGTCCAGGGGGGCGAGACCCTCTGGTCACACGCTACTGGTGACCTCCCCGAGCCCCCCGAGCCTACAGCTTTAGGCCCTGCTCCTGACGACGCTGCTACGGCTCGCTTTGCCCGTCAGCGCGCTAACCGGACGGCTTGGACGTCGCGTGACGCTGCGGCCTGCATCGCACTCAGCAGCCTCCTCCCTGAGTCCGAGGAGGTCCACTTTACTCAGGTTCGCACCGCTGCTGCGTACCTCACTGCGATTAAGGCCCGCTACTCTACTCCCGCTACTGTCTCTCTCGGCCGTCTTTTCCTCCCGTTCCTGTTTCCTGATCTTGCCTCGTTTGAGCGCTCTGCTGACTTGATCGCTCACCTCCGCTCGCTCGACGCTAGTTACCGCGCTGCTTGCACTGAGGTACAGCTTGCACTGCTTCCTCCCCCCATGGCGATTACTGTCTATTTCATCGCCACTAGCCTCCCTGACCGCCTTGCCTCCGTTCGTGACGCGCTTCTGCTGAAGCACCCTAGTGAGCTGACTATCGAGGTCCTTGAGTCTGCACTCAAGGACGTCGAGAGCAACCTTCGTTCGGTAGCTGCCGCCTCTGGTACTGTGTCCCCCCCACTCTTCCACGGGTGCACAGTCCCGCAGTTACCCACCTTCACTGCCTCTCTTGCCACTGCCGCTACTGACGCGACTGCGGCTGCTGTTACGACTGCGTCGCGGTCCCGCGGCAGGGGGGGCAAGAAAGGTGGTTCCGGTGGAGGTGGAGGCGGAGGTAGCGGAGGTAGTGGGGGTGCTGTTGCGACTGGCGGTGGTGGGAGTGCAGCGTCTGGAGAGACCCCTCGTGCAGCGGCTGGTGACTCCACTGCACCTGCTGGTGGCGGCGACCCTCGAGCTCGTCAGTCGCCTCCTGTACTGCCGGCCCCGCTAGGTGGAGCAGCGGCGTGGTACCAGGCTCAGCGTCAGCAGCACCTTCAGCAGCAGCAGCAGCCCCTTTCCTCCCAGCAGCCTCAGCAGCAGCAGCGTCAGCAGCTGGCTCCGGGGTCGGGGCTGCGTCAGCCCCAGCGCGGTGCTGCTTACCCTCCCTGCCCCTACCAGGTTCAGACACGTCCTCGTCGGGGCCACCCTTGTGGCCGCTTTCACCCCCCTGGTCAGTGCTTTGCTCAGCTCACTGACACGGTCCGGTTGACCTACGGGGTTGGCGGTCCTGCTCCTGACTGGCTTCCTCTGGTTCAGCGCTACGGCTCCGCTCTGTGGGGCATGTCTGCTGAGCAGTTAGTTGATCTGATTAGTGCTCCTCATGCTATGTATGCTGTTGTTGACTCTAGTGTTTCTGACTCTGTTTACTCTGGTGTTGTTAGCTTAGGTGCTAGTCTTGCTCAGTTACCTGTTGCTAGTGTAGGTACTTGTGTAGACTCTAGACCAGCGACTACCTCAGAGGACGCTTCGCTGTCGTTCACACTGGACTCTGGAGCCTCCCACTGCTTCTTTCGGGACAGCACGACACTTACACCACTTCCTGCGCCTGTTTCTGTAGCGTTGGCTGATCCCACTACGGGACCAGTCACTGCACGTCACACTACCACTTTACCGTGTCCTGCTGCTCCCTCCGGGTCTCTCACTGGGTTTCACGTCCCCTCGTTCTCCCGGAACTTGGTGGGCGTGCGACCCCTCGTGAGTCAGCACGTGGGTGTGTGGTTTGAGCCTTCTGGAGAGACTGCGGTGTGTGTTGACGGAGACTCTTACCAGCCTCTTGCTACCTTTACTGCTGAGCCGGGCTCGGGTCTCTACACTCTTCACACTGGCCCGCGTGCGCCGCAGCAGCAGCCGCAGCAGCAGCAGCAGCCGCAGCCGCTGCAGCAGCAGCAGCAGCAGCAGCAGCAGCAGCACCAGCGGCCGCACCAGCAGCCCCCCCTACTGTCACTGCCCCCGGTTCCCCCCCCCGTTCGGGTCCCCGCGTCTCACCAGGTTGCTACGTCCCCCCAGGTGTCTGTGTCGTGTCAGGTTCCTACGTCTGTTCCAGTCGCTGCGTCGTGCTCCTACCGGTCGCTTGCCCACCCCACCGTTCTATGGCACCACCGGATGGGGCACCCGTCCCTTCCACGTCTGCGCGCTATGTCTAGTCAGCGTCTTGTCCTAGGCCTCCCACGTGTCTTGCCGTCGCTGCCGCCTTCGCCTGCGCCGCCGTGTCGTCTCTGCGTCGAGGGTAGGCTGCGCGCCACCCCTCACTCCTCCTCCCTTCGTCCGGCCACCGAGCCTTTTGAGACGCTTCACTTGGACGTCTGGGGCCCAGCCCCTCGTCTAGGCCCTGAGCGTGAGCGTTACTTTCTGGTGGTCGTTGACGACTTCTCCCGCTACACCACAGTGTTCCCTCTGGCGAAGAAGTCTGAGGTGACTTCTACGCTGATCAGGTGGTTGCTCACCACTGAGGACACTCGTGGTCGTCGTGTCAGCTGTCTCCACTCCGACCGTGGGGGTGAGTTTCGCTCCGGCATTCTCGCTGGATTCTGTCGCGAGCAGGGCATTCGTCAGTCCTGGACGCTTCCAGAGTCCCCACAGCAGAATGGGGTTGCTGAGCGCCGCATAGGCCTGGTCATGGAGATCGCCCGCACCTCCCTGACTCACGCCTGTGCCCCCCATTTTTTGTGGCCCTACGCGGTCAGGTACGCCGCGCACCAGCTGAACCTCTGGCCACGTGTCTCTCGACCAGAGGTTTCACCGACCAGTCTTTGGACAGGGTCCCCTGGTGTTGCGTCGCGGTTTCGTGTCTGGGGGTGCTTGGCTCTTGTCCGCGACACCTCCGCGGACAAGCTCTCGCCTCGTGCCGTCCCCTGTGTCTTCCTTGGTTTCCCTGAGGACTCCTCTGACTTCACCTTTTACCACCCTCCCTCTCACCGGTTCTTTGACTCCCGTGACGTCCGTTTCGAGGAGTCCACTCCGTACTACGTCAGGTACCCCAGTCGAGGTCTCCCGGTTCCTCCTCCCCCCCTCTTCTTGACTGCCGTTCCCCCTCCTGCTCCCCCGGTACAGCCTCCCCCCCCTGGTCCAGCCCCGTCAGGTGTGTCCCAGGCTACCCCTCCTCCTTCGGTAGCCCCTCCGGTACAGCCTCCCTCCCCACAGTCCTCCTCGCAGCGTGCCGCTGGTGCTAGCTCTCGAGAGGTTGGTGCGGCGCCTGTTCCTGTACCGGTTTCTGGTTCTGGGGGTGCTGGAGTTGGAGCTGGAGTTGGAGCTGGAGCTGGCACTGGAGTTTCTGGTTCTGGGGGTGCTGGAGTTGGAGCTGGGGTTGGAGCTGGAGTTTCTGGTTCTGGAGTTGGAGCTGACCCGGTGGGTGCAGAGGACTCTTGTCGTCCGGGAGCTGGTGCTGGCCGCGCGGACACTGGGGGTGCTGCGTCTGGGGGTGAGGGTGCGCCTCCTTCGGGTTCAGGTGAGCCTGGGTCTGGAGCTGGTGTTAGTGCTGCCTCTGGGGGTGGTGCGCCTAGTTCTTCTGGGGTGGACTCTGGAGCTGCCGCTGCTTCGGACACTACTCCACCCCCCCACCCCTACCCGACTAGGCACCAGGCTCGTGTTCGCCGTGCCCGTGACGAGCAGCTGGCGTTGGAGAGAGATGAGAGGGAGTTACAGCGGCTGGAGGAGCAGCAGCAGCAGCTGGAGCCGCAGGAGCAGCAGCAGCAGCAGCTGGACCCGCAGGAGCAGCAGTCCCAGCAGCAGTCGCGTCCGCAGCAGCAGCAGTCGCAGCCGCAGCAGCAGCAGCCACTTCCTCCTCCTGTCTCGGGTCTTCGGATCCTTGGTCTCCCCTCCCCTTCTCCTCCCTCCTCCGCCTCTCCTCCTCTCTACGGTCCCACGTTTCCTCCGCCTGACTCCTCCCCCGCTGTTTTCTCCAGTTCTCCGCCTTTGTCCTCTCCTCCTCCGTCTCGTTCTTGGGCTACTCGTCGCTCCCCTCGTGCTCGTCCCTCGTCTCCTGTTCCCTTCACTGACCTTCGTACTGCCTTACTTTGTTCTAGTCCACCTCGTCCGTCTCAGTCTGTGCTTCCGTCTCCTCCTGAGTCGGCCCTCACCGTGTCCCTCCCTGCTCCCGTCACTGACTACTACCGCACGTACCGTCCTGTTCTCTCTCGTGTTCTCGCCTCTCTTGTTACTCACCCTCGTGCCTCTGTGTCCTCTGTGTCCGCTCTTACTGCCGCAGTTGCTGACTTTGCCTCTACCCGTCGCCTTGACTACGCCACCACGCTTGTGGCTGCTCCTCCTACCAGTCCTCTGGCCGTCGGGGGTGTGTCTGCCCTTGGCTGTGACGCCCTAGAGGACAGGCAGTTTGAGCTAGAGTTCCTGGCGGCCGCTTCCCCTCATCTCTGTGCCATGCTCCTCGCCCCTGAGGGTGACCCCGACGCCCTTGACATTCCGACTCCTCGCACTTACGCTGAGGCAGTGTCAGGGCCTTGGGCCTCTCAGTGGAGAGCTGCCATGGACGCAGAGATGGCCTCCTACAGATCCACAGGCACCTACGTTGATGAGGTTCCCCCCCCTGGGGCGAACGTAGTCGACGGCATGTGGATCTACAGGGTGAAGCGGCCACCGGGATCTCCCCCGGTCTTCAAGGCGCGCTACGTGGCCAGAGGTTTCAGTCAGCGCGAGGGAGTTGACTTCTTTCAGACCTTCGCACCTACCCCGAAGATGACCACTCTTCGGGTGTTACTACACGTAGCAGCACAGAGAGACTACGAGTTACACTCTCTTGACTTCTCCACTGCTTTCCTTCAGGGCAGTCTACACGAGGAGGTCTGGTTGCGTCGTCCCTCGGCCTTCACTGGCACTTTCCCTCCTGGGACCCAGTGGAGGCTGAGGCGACCTGTTTACGGTCTTCGCCAGGCCCCTCGTGAGTGGCACGACACTCTGCGTTCTACCCTCTCTGACCTTGGGTTCCAGCCGTCTTCTGCCGACCCGTTGCTGTTCGTTCGTCGTGGCTCCACACTGTTCTTTGTTCTGGTCTACGTCGACGACCTCGTTTTCGCCACTTCTGACAGGGTTGCTTTGGCAGACGTGAAGTCCGAACTGCAGAAGAGACACACGTGCACTGATCTTGGTGAGCTGCACCACTACCTTGGCCTGCAGATCACCAGGGACAGAGCCGCTCGCACCATTACACTCTCACAGTCACACATGGTGCAGCAGGTCCTTCAGCGGTTCGGGCTTCAGCACTCCACCGTACAGCGCACACCTCTAGCTGTTGACCACAGACTCACTGGTCCCTTTCCTGACGAGCCGTTTGAGCCTAGTGGTCCCTACGCAGAGCTTGTGGGTTGCCTCATGTACCTGATGACTTGTACTCGCCCGGACCTCGCCTTCCCTCTCAGCATCCTTGCGCGCTTTGTTGCGCCAGGGAGACACCGTCCTGTTCACTGGACGGCAGCTGTGAGGGTGGCGAAGTACCTAGCGACTACATCAGGCGTGGGGCTAGTTCTTGGAGGGCAGCAGTCTGTCGTACTCACTGGTCACTGTGACTCCTCTTACGCTGACGACGCTGAGACTCACAGGTCCACTCAGGGGTACTGTTTCAGTCTGGGTTCTGGAGCTGTTTCCTGGCGTTCCACGCGCTCCTCTTCTGTCTCGACCTCTACAGCTGAGGCTGAGATTTACGCTGGTGCCATGGCGGCACAGGAGTTGCGGTGGTTGACCTTCTTGCTCGCCGACCTTGGTGAGCGGCCGAGCTCTGCACCGACCTTGTTTACTGACAACAAGGCGTCGATCCTCCTCTGTCGTGAGCCGCGACTGGAGAGCAGAGTGAAGCACATTCACATCAGGTACTTTCTTCTGCGAGAGTTGCAGAGGCGTGGACAGGCTCGCTTCGAGTTTGTAGAGTCCGAGGCCAACACTGCAGACATCTTCACCAAGGCGCTTCCGCCTTGTGATCACCAGAGGTGTTGTGTGCAGTTAGGCCTTGTTGACACAGGTTCTAGTCATGCGTAGACTTGAGTTTATTGCCTGCTTCGTCTGTATACTTACTATATATACTTGTGATCTCTTGGACTGGCCTTGTGGCCACTGTTGCTTGTGCTCAGAGTGTGTGGTGACGTTGTGATCCACCCTGAGCTTTGTTTTCTTTTGGACTGGTCTTGTGACCGTACTCTTTTTTTTTTTGTTTTTGCTAGACACCCCTCACTTAGGCTATGGGGGTGTGTCAAATGTTGTAGCTTGTAGTGAGGTTTGTCTTAGGGGGTACAGAAGTTAGGGTTTGTTATATGTACCCCAACCAACATCAATGGCACATTCATTCCTCATTCTGACACAGACTGCTAGGCAAAATGGGTTGGCATCTGCACGGCGCACGCTATCCAACCAAGTCAATACCTTATGATTATGTTTATGTTCATTGAAGTCTAACAGAATAATTGTGCAGAAAGAGTTATGAAACCTTGCTATGGTAAGGGCTGTGCCTGATGTAGAGGGTGATAAGGCAACAATAGAGCACACAATAATTTGAGATGACATCATAACGCAAATTTGAGTTAACTACTAGCATTTTATCACACCACTTGGTGAAGCACGCTATATCCCTTCTAGTGGCAGACACATTCCTGGGGGCGCATAGTGCCTTGCTAGCGATAGCTTACGGCTGGAGAGGTGTTTCCCTCGCCCGTCACAGCCTTCCGACGTAGTCTCGCCAGCGCATAACCGCAAATCAGTTGCCGCCTGCACTCATCCGCGCGTCTGCGCTGCTTGCTCCGGCCGGACCAGCGCACGCGGGCCATCCGCCACTTCTCCCGTCTTCCCGCGAGCCGTGCGACTTTCTTCCCCAAACCACATCCGCGCCATGGCGTCCGATAAGAAAGGTACCGCGGCGCGCTGCCCTCTGACGTTATTGTGCGCGACGTGGATCCGAGCTCGACGCGCAGCGAAGCAAGGCAGTGCGGCAGAATTCCGTCCCAAGCTTTCCGCCGTTAGCCTCCCAACCCATTCATCGTGTGCGCTCGCGAGCACATTGGTCCTCGAATCACGTCCTCTCTCTATCCCACCCGCCATACCCCCCGCCATACACAATCCCGCCCATTTCCCCCCGCCATACACAATCCCGCCCATTTCCCCCCGCCATACACAATCCCGCCCATTTCCCCCCGCCATACCCACTCCCGCCCATTTCTCCCCGCCGCCGTGCGCAGGCCCCCCATCCGCCAATCTCACTCAACTGTATCCCCGCTCCACTCTCCATCTCTTCATCCACTCCTTTCTGCCACTGATTGCACCCGTCCGTTTTCATCCCTCGCTCCTGTCGTCTCCGCCCCGTGTGTTTCCCTCCCAATCTCACGCGCACCTAGCAGGCAGCACCGGTTGGTTTGGGGATATGGTCTCGACGATTAGTGACTTTGGCAAGCACACAACAGACATGGCTTCTAACCTCTACACTCATAGTACGTCCTAGCATGACTTGATTTCTGAAGCTTCTGGGATCAGTTGTATTTCGACACGTCACAAGCACGTACTCTGTGGCATGTCACCATTGTACACATATGCAATTCTGGTGCAAAATAGACTTGCACTCTGCTATATGTAGCCTGATGTGCGCAGTAACCTTTTTTTTCATACTGGTAACCCTCTTCATCCTTCCCCGGCAGTGGGCAAGCTGGGCAACCCCACCCTCTTGACGCATGCAGGAGCAGAGGCGCTGTGGCGGGAGCACTTTTGGGCGCCACCGGATGAGAAGCTGCTGTTCTACTTTTACTGCAACCTGCTCACGAGCGTGGGGCCCGTTCCCGGCACACTAGTTGTCACCACCGCGTCCATTGGCTTCCTCTCGGACGCCGAGTTTGAGTACAACCCGCTGGGCCGCCCCACAGAGATTGCCAAGAGCCACTTTGTGGTGAGCCTGTTTGGTTGTTTGTATCATGGCCTCAGATTTGATGGAACACATTCCAACCCTCTTCTCCAACCCCCTCCTTCCCAACTCCCTTCCACCCCACCTGTACAATTGTCTTTCTTAGGCCACCATTCCGCTGCATAAGATAACAGGAGTGGCGCCTGAAGCCAACCCATCTGATGACAATGAGAAATACATTCGTCTCACTACAGAAGACGATTTCTCATTCTGGTTCACTGGCTTCATCGCATATGATCAAGCCTTTGCGACTGTCCTTTCTGCGGTGGTCAGTACTTCTCATCCTCTTGAAGCTTTGTCATAGAGCAGGAATGTGGCACAATGTCCATATTGTCAGTGGTGAACTAGCCATGTGAAAAAGTGGTACTGGTGTAGCATTGCAATGTTCACATGCATAGTACGGTACGTGCCACATGATTTGATTCTAGTCCTCGTAAAGCCTGCAGTTTTGTGAGCACTGTTCATCACCTCCTTTATTTGTGGGTTAAAGGGTAAAAATTGTTGGGTACAATTAACTCTAAGCGCCTCTGTCGTGTCGAAACACCAAGTCAGAAGCGAAGCGAAGTTTATCGAAGCACCGGCGAGTCAACCCCAGGGCCTCAGATTCCAGGAATTTTATCCTGATTTCCTGATGTTTGACCTCGGTTTTTTATTGTAACCCTGACGAATCAGCCTTTTTGTTTTTACAACCCTGATGAATCAGTGTTTTTCTTTTCCTAATCCTGATTTTCCAGTGTTTCTAGTTTGTCGACACTGACGAGTCAGTGTTGTATCGGAGACGACCCTGAAACCGGAAACTCCATGATTCTCGCAGTTTTGCGCGCCGTCATCGTGCATGAACCCACCCTACACCGACGCCACCCTGCGGCGCGCCCAGATCCAGTTGAACGGGTTAATTTCGGGCTGTGTTGGCAAAACGGCGTAAAGAGATTGGCTGTCCCAGCTGAAGCAATGTACCGTTGTCACGTTGGATAACCTACACTTGTCATTACTTTCCATTGATGTGCACAAACAACCAAGCCTAGTGGCCCAGTGGGCCAGTGGTCTGCCTTGTTCTTTCCACCAAGGCAGGGCGTGCTGGGATGGCCCGCTCAGGCACCCCATGCAGGGGGTCTCGTGATTCTGCCATTCCAGCTCTCCAGACTCCATCCCTTTCCGAAACATCAATCTCTGCAGTCTCCCTGAAGCCTGCTCGGCAGACTCTCTCTCTCCCAGGGTTTCTCATTACTACTCACCGATTCAGGAAGGTGACGTGAATGCGCCATGGCGATCACCGGTGAGAACAGTTGCGGTGATGATGACGACGATGCACTTTACGCCGCCACCGAGATGCTGGAGGCCAGAACGGGACTAGATTTTCTAGTTTCCGCGCTCTCCCATGAAAAAGAGAAGCCAGGTCTCGTCGCCTCAGTGGCAAACACTGGTGAAGCGTCTGGCCTCTGCCGCGGAGACGATCGTCCCCAGCCCGCGCATACTGCTAAGCCGACCGTGCCGTCAGCAGCCGGACCGAGCGTCCACTTGCCATCTCGTGCGTCGTCGTCGAAGCCTCCGCCTCGTTACAAGCAGGCCGTGCTCCGTTGGGCCGATCCTACAGATCCTGGACGTCCTCTCGCTGATGCCGGCGAGTCGGTAAACCACGTTACGCCCACGCCATCTAACTCTAAAAAACCGTCACTAACCACTCTGATTTACGAAGAGGCCCTTGAAACGTTCAACTCGAACACGTCCTACAAAGCCACTACATCGGCCTCAGCTGTGACGAGTCTACGGACAGATGCCGTGGGAAGCATCTCATCATCTATGCCACATTCATCCGCGACGGGGTAGTAGTCACCGAGTTCTTTGCCCTCCTAACCGTGGACAGGGCAGACGCCGCATCGCTGGTGGCGTTGCTCTTATCCCATGTCAATGCCGTCGGCATTGACCTGCGCCGAATCACGGGCATCAGCACCGACGGGGCGAGCGTCATGGTCGGATCCAAAAACGGGCTGGTGGCGAGGCTGAGGACGCGCGTTCCGCATCTGGTGTCCTGCCACTGCATCGCTCACAGGTACGGTGGTTGATGCAGTGTCCGATGCGACTGGTATTTGTTATTTGAACATGGTGTCCTTCCTTCTACTTAACCAAATGCGATTGTTTTTTGTTTTAATCGCAGGGAAGCACTCACGGCCAAGGACGCGGCAGAGTCCCTACCGGAGTTTGGCATGGTCGACAGCTTCATCCGCTGGCTCTCCACCTACCTCGGCTCATCAGGACCCTGGCACCAGCGCTTCATGGACCTTCAGGAAGTCTTCACTCAGACTAACCTGGAGCTCCAAGGAATCAATGATGTGCGTTGGCTCTCACGCGGCGATGCAGTCTGCCGACTCCTTGCAGTCCTTCCGGGGGTCATCGTGATGGTGCACGAGCTGGGAAACAAGCCCATGTACCAGATGGTGACCAGCTACAGATTCTAGTTCATGCTGCGACTCCTCGCTGACGTGCTGGAACAGCTGAACGTGCTCAGCAAGACGTTCCAGCATTGACAGGTGAGATCCTGCTTTTGCCTGTGCATCCCTGTGTACCGTGAGGACTGTGGGTTTAGGGCCGCTAGCTACGGCTAGTTCTGCTTCATGATTGAAACATGGCTGTGCTTTCCCTACTGTTTTTGTGTGGCAGATTGACCTGCTGGCGATTCAAGGCCAGATCCGTCGCACGACAGCCCACATCAATAGCCGTTATGTGGATTGTGGCGACGACTTCGGCGGCGGCCTGAGCGAGAAGCTGTCGCCCTTCATTGCACGACATGGACCGAATGGGGTGCGGAGAGTGGAGGTCGAGTGGGTTGACTCCGACGGCCGGCCCACTTCTCACTGCTACGTGCTGCATGATTCCCCCCTTGAAGGCTACCCCATTGCAGGGACCCATGAGCGATGCGTGGAGCAGTGCACGGCGATGGCGGAGGCGCTCGTGCATAACCTGGATGAGCGATTGGGTTCACTCGACAAGCTGAGCGGTGTGAAGCTGTTCATGCCTGACGAGTGGCCCCATGGACGGCAGGAGCGTTCCATGGTCTGCACGGAGCACCTAGAGTCCCTCACGATGCTCTTCAGGGCCCAAGAGTGCGACGAGATCGTTCCAGGTACGTACTTCTCTTTGGTCTGTGCATCGTTGTTTGTGCTGCTTTGTTGTGTAGCACCTAAACACTGGCACCACTTGTCTGGTGAGCCTTGCTTACCTTGTTCTTTTCCTTGTGCTTGCGCACTCCCTGACTCCCTCCAGGTGTCAACAAGAAGAAGGCGTTCAAGGAGCTCCGCACGTTCTGCACGGTTCTCGCTGGAGCCCCGAAGTCCGAGAGAAAGTTCTACCCGGGTCTCTCGGCGATGCTGAAGTCTCCTGACTGGGAGGACGCGTACCCCAACCTGGTGAAGCTGTGGATGGCTGTCGCTGTGCTACCGTTGAGCACAGCCGAGTGCGAGCGGGGTTTCTCGCGTCAAAACATCATCAAGAGCTGGCTGAGGGGTGCCATCAATGATGCGCGGCTGTCGGACCTCATGTGCATGGCATTGCTGCCGTACGAGCCCGACTGGGTGGAGGTGGTGAATATCTGGAGGGCGTACAAGAAGCGCAAGCCCATCACAACAGTGGCAGCACCAAAGAAGCAACCTAGTGCTAAGGGGAAACAGAAGGTGGACGAGGATGATGCTGGTGGTGCTGGCTCTGGGTGGGGGACAGAGACCCCCGTGCACAGGCACGGTTCTATGAGCGATGGTGGTGGTAGTGACGAAGATGAAGACATGTGTGTGATGTGAATTGTGTGTGCGGTGTGAGCGCCAATTGGTCTGTGCCTGTAGTTAGATTAGAAGCTCATTAGAACCATATTTGAACTTTTCTTAACTTATTAGACTTGTGATAGTTGTGGATTCTCACCGCCATTGTTTTTTTTTTTACTCATGCTGATGTGTCAGGGTTTTTTTTTTTTTTCTAACCCTGAGAAATCAGTGTTTCTCCATTTACAACCCTGATGATCAGTGTTACAGCCCCAAAGGACCCTGAGTGCTCAGGGTCACCCAAAACGAATCTGAGGCCCTGGTCAACCCTCAGAGGTTGAGCGGTTGCTAGAGGGGTCAGCGACCTTTGACCTGACATGACAAGTACAGCGCGATAGCAAGGACACACAACTGACTCGTTACAGAGCAGTTGCCCGAGTCATCACTGTATCGAACCGCAACAGCAACAGTAAAGCAGTTATAACTGTATCTCTTCATATTCCTTGTACTCCTATATAATCTTGTACGGTATTGCTTTGCTTTAACCAATCAACTTTGCCCTCACACACTAGCGCAAGGTGGTTCACAACTCTTTATTAAACGCTTCCGCTATTACACCAGTGCTACCCAGAGTTCACCCCTGCAAAGATCCTAAGGGCTTTTTCTTAGCCCAACATGGTATGAGAGCTAACAGGGGGAACTCAACTACTATCAAGTCATCTACAACGTCAGAAGGCATGTCAACACAAAAGGAAAGGAGCTCCTCTAACGGCTCCCCGGGTACTACTCCTACTCCGCCTCCTGCCTCTGGCCTACAGACAGAGGAGGGTACGGCAACAAGACCAAGAGCAAGTTCTACTGAGACCCCTGCGAATCAATCTGCAGGCTTCGATCAGAACATGATGGAGAAGTTTCTCTCCTTCATGTCCTTATACGAGCAACACCAACAGTCGGCACCTGCGCAGTCAAACAACAGCAACAACAACAACAATGTGACTCCAATGAGCCTTGATGGTTCATCCTACGCACGTGGAAATCAACAGCAGCAACCTACCTTTGCTCCGTACGAGCCCCAGCGCGGCTCCGTCAGCTTTATGCCACAACCACAGCCTGCACCTGGACAAGAGAAGACACTGGACGCGCTACAAGTTCAGTCGCAATTCGCGCACGTCCTGAATTTGCAAACGTCAAGACCTTTCGACAGATGTGACTTTTTTACCCGGTCATTCGAGTTCGAGCTGATGATGGAAGGCGCGCAGATCCTCGGCTTCTTCGACGAATCCCTGCCATACCCAACAAACGGCACACAGTACGAGAAGAAGCAGTACACCTATCAGTCAATGATGGCGTACACAATCCTACTGAGGAATATCACCCCGACCCAGCAACATAATATACGGTCTTTCCGGGGATATGGTAACTTTGCCGAGCTCGCATACAGCCACTTGAAGAACCTGTACAGAGCAACAGATAGCGTTAATCAGACTCGGCTAATGGCGCAGTTGACAACAGTGGAAATGAAACCAGGCGAAAAGGGAATAG